AAAAAAATTAAAAAGGAATTGGGCGTACAGAATGAATAACAACATATTCTGCAGCGCTCAAAACAATTGACAATTCTCGCGAGATGTCACAACAAAAGGTTTCGGTGTAATGGTGTCAAGTGTACAAATTACTTGTTTATCATTGCATAACATCTATGGAACCGACAAAACAAACACCAAAAAAATTTTATTATTTAAAATTTATATATGTAATTTAAATTTTCATACACATAAACTAAACGCGTGTCTTGTCATTTCGCTATCAACAGGAATGGGAACAGAAAGCAATGAAAATGAAGGAAGAGTACAACAAGGCCGTCAAAGAGTATGAGGCCAACGGTGGCACAGACACCGGTGCTGCCAAGAAGCGGAAAGGCAAGCCCGCCGCGAAGCCCATCAAAAAGACAAAGAAGAAAGATACATCCGATGAAGAAGAAGAGGATGAGAGTGACTAAGCGCTGGCGCGCTGGCGAGTTACTGGCTTTTAGCGGAGTGACGAAAACTTAAACTATAAGTTTTAAATATTTTATTAAAGTAATTTTAAGTGGCATATACAAATGTATGTATACATACTTACGGATGACATTGATGGGTAACTTTAATTATACATACATACATACAAATATATGCACTCAACAAAACAAAAAACAAAAGAAAGAAAATACAAAAAAAAATATACAAAAAAGAAAAAAAACTTTACTTAAAATAAAATAGCCATAAAATTAATACAAGTACATAAAGTTTCCAGTTTTTAAAACATTACAAATACGACAAACCACATAAGAGGAAAACAAATGGCAAAACATTTTTGTATTCCTTCCAACTGAATTAATTTTCTTATTTTGATTTTCCTTCAAATGGTTTCCTATATTTTTTTAGTATGGTATACTTTAATTTTATATTGTAAAATATAAATTAATTATGTATTAGATATTCGTGCGATTTTTCTTGCATGTACATACATTTATATGTAGTGAAAACTTGACATGTTTATATGTTACTCGAAAAAGTCTTTTCGTATTTTGTCAATACAAGGTGAGTTCCAAAGTAAACTGGAAAAGTTACAGGTGTTCAAAAACAAAGAAATTCGCTATATTTTCATTTTTTTTTTTTTTATAAAAAAAGGAGGAATGCCACTCAAGTCACCAATGAAATTTGTGAAGTTTACGGAGACCATACTGTATCAATTCGTGTAGCACAACAATGGTTCACTCGTTTCCGTTCTGGAAATATCGATGTGAAAGATGCACCTCACTCTGGTCCACCTATCGTTGAAAAAGTCAAAGCGATTCTTTGCTGAAACGAATAAGACTTTTTCGACTACCTATATTTATATTTTAAAAATATAAATTCTCTTATCTACTGCTAACTATATACTACAATGATCGCTGTTTTCTGACAAAATTTTTTTTTATCTAGTTAATATTTAAAAGAAATTCTCTCCTTTAATTTTTCACCACATTTTACTGTAAGTTCGTTTTAGTTCTTTTTTGTAAAATTACTTGATGTAATGTGAAACTTACAAAATCAACCATAAAAAACAAAATGAAATAAACAAAATATATAAAAAA